GAATGGATTAAAAAACTTTGACACATCTATACAATGGAATACTATGCTGCTATAAAAAGGAAGGGACTCCTACCATTTGCAACAGCATGGATGGAGCTGGAGAGCACTATGTTAAGTGAAATAAGCCAGTCAGAGAAAGATAAATATCACATGCTCTCACTCATTTGTGGATTATAATGAACAACATAAACCGATGAACAAAAACAGATGTAGAGACAGAGAAGCATCGATCAGATGCTCAAAACTCAGAGGGAAGGCAGGGGAGGGTGGGGGTGAGGGGGAAAGATCAACCAAAGGACTTGTATGCATGCATATAAGCATAAGCGATGGATGTGGACAACAGGGGGTGAGGGTGAGGGCAGGATTGGGGGGGATGAGAGGTCATTGGGGGGGTAAGGACACATTTGTAATATCTTAATCAATAAAGGGGGAAAAAAACCCTGTGAGAAGTGCCTTCCCTGTACTAGAGACAAGGAATGATCTTATCTCCAAAAAGAAGCCACGAGGAATCCAAACAAACTGGTCTTGTTAAATTTCTCCCAGTTTATTACACGTATCTCATACTCCCTCACCTCTCATATTTCTACACCAAACCTGGCATAAAAATACTGAGGTTCAACAATTTCCGTGGGTCTCCATTTCCTTGTGAAGACACCGATATCTCGTAAAACTTGTATTAAAGAAACTTGGTTGCTTTTCTCCCATTAATCTGTCTTTGTCAGTTTAATCTTCAGATCCAACGTGGGACCCTGAAAGGATTGAGGAAAACGTTTTTTCTTCCCCTACAAAGTCACCCCAATAAATGGGGCAAAAACAAAACAAAACCCTGTGAGAAGTGCCCAGAATCTCATTAACCAGAATCAGTGGGATCTGTGGTCAAATTTAGTTGCAAGAGAGACCAAGAAGTGAGTATCTGACTCTTTTAGCTCCCAGGTAGGAAAGGTAGAAAACCAGAAGGTAGTTTCAACAGCTGTTAGGCTGGCAGTGTCTAACCTCATTCTAGCTGCCCAGGTGCAGCTGTAAGCTTCTCTTAGACCTGGAGGAGCAATTGCTGTGCACAGTTACTAGCCAGATTTCTGACATTTGGAAGTTATTTTTCTGGTGTGACTCCATTGGACTCAGAAAGAAATTTTTTGGAGGGTCCCCTGACTGTGAATAGGGGACATTATTCCTGCATTATTTAAAGCAGACTGTCGGTCCTTTGCTTGTCAAAAATAGCACATGAAAAACTACAACTTCTAGAATGCACATTCCAGTGGCTCCTCTAGGCTTTGCCCCTTCTTACACTGATTTCACGTCCCAAAATGCAACGAACACTGTCTTTCCCATCTAGCCCAAAGTTGCTGGAATCTTAGAAATTGTAATCCCTGAAGAGATATAGAAAGAGAAATAATAATGACAAGACAGGATGGGAAGAATTGCACTGTGGACCAAAACTTCCCTCTAAAGAAGTGTCTAAGGGGCTATGAAACATCTCTTTCTCTAGTTGGTGAAAATTCTTTCAACGAGGGTTACACAGTGAGAGTCTGGAAATCTAACATTTTACGGCCCCATTTTATTTTATTTAATTTTTAAATATATTTTTATTGATTTCAGAGAGGAAGGGAGAGGGAGAGAGAGATAAAAACATCAATGATGAGGGAGAATCATTGATTGGCTGCCTCCTGCACACCCCACACTGTGGATCAAGCCCACAACCTGGGCATGTGCGATGATCCAGGAATCAAACCGTGACCTCCTGGTTCACAGGTCGACACTCAATCACTGAGCCATGCCAGCCAGGCTACTGCCCTATTTTATATTCACCTCCATGCTTGCATTTTATTTAGGGTTAAGTCCGAACTCGGAGCTCTGATAGATCCAAGAATACATATTCTATCTGGGAACTTGTAATCTGATAGAAAAAGACACGTTACATGTAAAATTAGGAAACTAGCTAAACTAGAACACAATAAAGTTCTGAAATGAGTGTACCTGGTCAGGTCACAGAACAGGGCAGGAGGTAAAGACATCAGTGCTGGGTGGTTAGTCAAGTGAAAAAAAAACCCTAGCTTGGATTTAGGGTTCTGAGGTTCAGATTTCGGAGATACCTGGAGCAAGTCACTTTGCTTCTCTCTAGGAGTCACCTGGGCTTAATGGTGAAGGAACAGTCTGGAATCAGGGCGCCTGATTAGTTTCCAGCTAGTCCTTGATGTGTCTCTTAACGTTTCTGTTCCTCTGTGTCCTCATTCCTAAAATAAAGGTGTTACTATTACCTACTTTATAAAGTTGTTATGAGAATAAATGAGATAGGAGAGACCCGGTGCATGGCTGTTGCTCTCTCTATCTGTTTCCTTAGCTGTGAAATGGGGGCAATATTATCTCATTGGCTTACTGTAAAGATAAAAAGTGAAAATATTAATGAAAGTTCTTGGCTCACAATCTTCAACAAAGATCTGTGTAGTCTAAACGATGGGGTAAAATCTATAACAGGGAACTAAAACTTTGAAATAGTCTCTCTTACTGATAGCAAAGAAAGTAAAATGATATTTGTATCCAGCATAACAATTATGCCTTTTTATAAATTCTCGAATTCCTTTGTTTTTGGCAGTACCTGCATAAGTGGGCCTATAACATGGGACATTTTACCTGTGATTTTGTCTTAGGGTTTCTGCAGTTTTGTTTCCCAATGGAAATAAAACATTTTTTTTTCAGCTTGGGAATGCTCTCTCACTGTACAAATTAATTCTAATTGCAACTTTCACCCTATTCTTATAAAGCCTTGCACACCTGAGGTGAGGTAGCATTGCAGGCAGGTTACTAAGTTAGCATTGCACATAGCTCCTGACTTCAACTTCCACAAAGTGTGGCAACAGGTGTGTGCAGGAGCACAACATTTTGGATAAAATAATACAGACATAGTTAACACTCCCAGAGCTTAGCAATGCCAGGCAGACCTGAGTCAGACGTGTTTCTAAGAAACAAGTGTTTCCAAGGGCAACAAAATGTAACAGTTTACAGGTAAATTACATTTGATTTACTTAAGGAAAAACACATTCCTACAAGTTACATAAAAAAGATTGCATTTTTCTCCCTGATATTTTGGCAGAACAGTATAAAGTGAGTCATTGTTAAAAAAGAATGAAACCTCCTAAAATTAGAATAACATGATAAGTTACCTTAGTCTTATTATTACTTCTACTTAAATTGTATAAAAAATTAGTATATCACTGAGACACAGCCAGTTAGCACATGCATAAATGAGTGTGCTGTGACATAAGAAGGAAAATAATACCATTGAGCCCAAATAAAGTAGAAAAAACCACATGAATATATGATTTACTGTAAAGATAATATATTTGAGCCAAAGTTTCAGCTGGGAAGCATTAGGGGTGGGAGAGGGATTCAGGTTTTGTGCCATTTGCTATTATTGGATACTTTTTGAGGGAAGATAGGACGGGAAAGAATTCTTTTTTTTTAAAATATATTTTATTGATTTTTTACAGAGAGGAAGGGAGATGGATAGAGAGTTAGAAACATCGATGAGAGAGAAACATTGATCAGCTGCCTCCTGCACACTCCTTACTGGGGATGTGCCCGCAACCAAGGTACATGCCTTTGACCGGAATCGAACCTGGGACCCTTGAGTCCGCAGGCCGATGCTCTATCCACTGAGCCAAACTGGTTAGGGCGGAAAATAATTCTTATGTGGTCTTTGGTCTGACGGGTAAAAGGGTTTGGTACCCCCAAAGTATGCCTTTTGGAATATTGATTGTTTTAGGCTGGTTATTTTTTAGAAAAGAAAGACTCAGAGGGGAAAATCATTGACCTTCTTCTAACTGCCTAGTAAGATTTAGAGAGAGGACCTGAACCAGGAAGAGAGCTACCACATAGCCAACTACAGTTTAGTATGAACTAGGTGTGATAGAGAGGAACCTAGCAAGGCCCCTTTTGATCAGAGTCTTCTCTGTGTTCCACTGTTAAGTGTGGCCCAGCAAACATTTATTTACCAAACATTTGCTTTTCATCTGCATATGAATGACCTTCCTGCCCTATGATGTCCCAAACCACAAGATCCCTCTCCCTCCTTAGCGGAAGATGGCATATAAGCCTCAACTAACTGCCTCATCTGTCTTCCCGTCTCACATTCTTTTGGGGCCCGTGTATGTACATATGTAATAAGTGTGGTCATTTTCTCCTGTTCATCTGTTTCCTGTTAATTTGTTAGTCCAGCCAGAACTTAGAAAGGTAAGAGGCAAATTTATTTTTCTGCCCCCACAGGTCAAATAATTCCCTGCGAACGAGCCCATTCCAACGTTTCCCTTCTCATCACCATGACTTGGTGTCCTTTTACAGGCTTTCATTCCCTTATTTTATCCAATAACTCATCCTCTTGGGGAAGACTGTTTATGAGCAACAGCACTGAAATTGGGAGCTCAGACTCCTCTCAATTTAAGAATCTTATAGAACCAGTTCTTGCTCATAAACTCTGAGTAAATAGTTGCTTAGGCTCCGAAAGCCCAAGTTAATTGCACTCTAATGGAGGTCTGGAGCTCTCAGAACTCTTTCAGCCCCGAAGCTAAATAGCACTTGGGTTCCTCTTGTTGAGAAAATGCTATCTACAAAACCAGATCTAAGAGCTAACTATTCTTGGACAAAAAATATAAACCTGCACAGCTACAGCAATTAAAAATTGCATTTTTAAACCAGCTGATTTACCTTTGATATCCACCTGTAAATGGAAATTTCCTCAGGCAGCTCCAGGGTGGAGTCATTGTACTTTGAATTCTGTTCTTACCAGCTTCTATAAGATCTAGACCTCTCGAAAGTACCCCCTGGAGAATTCACAAAAAATATGCTCCCATTAAGGTCCTATCAGTGACCAGCGGGCATGTTCCTGGGATCTCTAGGCCTCAGCTCCTGCTGGCAATCTTACTGATAGAAGCATAAGGTTTAAAATAATCAACAGCTGGCACAGGGCACTGACCTATCAGAGGAGACACTCACTGTAAAAGCAGCTCATGCACACTGGTGTCTGCCAGCTCATTTCAGTCAATCCAGGGCAGCGGCACTGCTTGGCGGCTCCTTGGCCTGCCTTTGTCCGGGTTTTCCAGGACCTGCCACCACAGGTTCCCTCTAATGTGTGTGTTTGCTGCTGCTGCTGCTGTGACAGCCAAGAGGTGGTCTGTGCCAAGTGGCAACCTCTCTGCCCTTCTTGGTGACATGATCTTAAAGGGGAACAACAGCTCTTTAAGATCTGGGTGAGCCAGCGCACCCTCCCTCCTGAGAGCACACGTGTTCTTCCCCCTCCCCCTACTTCCCCCACAGGCATGCATCTTCTAAACACTAAGGAGGCTTGCAACAAGGGCAGCAGTGGGCAGCGGCAGTTCATCCCAGAAGCCATAGGCCAAGTGGACCCCATGCCCAATGGACTGGTGGATTACAGCTGGGAACACAAGCTAGCCTGATGCTGGACTGGAATGTGCAAACATGGAACAGAAACTGTGGGCAAGGGCTTTAACCCAGCTCTGCTAAGGACACACAGCTGGACTTCTTTGCTGGCTGGACGGAGGGAGAGGGGACCTCAGAAACTCAGGTATTTAATTCCATGCAAATCAATGCCACTCATTCTCAAAAAAAAAAAGGGGGGGGGGGCGGGGAAGGAAAGATCTGGGTGAGCCTGGAACAGCTCTCACCATGTTTGTTTAGGGCTTCTCCCTTCCTAGATCTTGGAGAAGCCAGGTGCCCAGACCTTGCAGTCATCAAAAACCTCAAGCTTAGAGCTTTGAGGTGATTTTCAAGTGAGGTTAAATGTACAGTGACAGAAAGATAAGTGACTGAAGTGGAAGGGGAGATGGTTATCTGTAAATCTGGTTGTATTTCCACACAAAAGAGTCTGTAAGTCCTCATAAATTCACATGTCCATAAATCCTGTCACGTCCTTGGGAATGTCTAGCTACACACAACAATTTGTTATTGTGCTCAGACATTTATTTGTTAAATATAGGTTTTTAAAACACAATAATTTTTTTTTTTTGGTAGATGCTCTTCATTAAGAAACTTCCACTTTTTGCCTTTTTTTTTTCACTGAGAGATTTTTAAACTTAATTCGGTGACATTGGCTGGCATGATCATATAGGTTTCAGGTGTGGGTTTCTATGTTATAAGATCTATATTTTGCACCATGAAAAACATCATAATTTTTGCCATGGGTTTTGCCACTTCACTTTTTAATTTATGGAAAGCCTGGAAAATTAGGAGTGGCCCCGACCTGGATTCCCAAAGTGACTGGTCTATTGATAGTATTGCTTCTCTCACACCTAAAGCTTTGTTATTAGGTCAAGCTGGTTGGCCTGACTCTCTTCCCTGGGGATAAGTTTGTTCCCCAAAGTCTCCTCAGTCTTTCTTACAAGTAGGCTTTCCCTGGGGCTGCCCAAGGAAGCCTGAGAAAGCTGGTCCTGACTGAATTCAAGAGGCCAGTTGAGCTAAATCTGGGAGCCCAATACTCAGTAGGGGCACAGTACATATGCCCCAACCAAAGAAATGGGGCCTGCCTAACCAGAGTAGTGATGGACCTGCAGTTTGCTCAGTGTGACCCCCAGCCAGGATCCTGCCTGCTCAGGGCTACCAGGAAGGGGAGGGGGCAGTGAGGAAGCCAGGACACAGGGCCTTCCTTTCCCCACCTCCCTCTTTCCATGAGGCAGGCCATGGTTACCTATCTAATGTACTGACCACTACTCAGCTTCCATTCATAAAAAGTTCAGTTTTAAACATATTTGAAAATGCCTTAGAGCAGTGGTTCTCAACCTTGGCTGTACATTAGAATCACCTGGGAATCTTTTTAAAATCCTGATTTCTGGGCCTCCAAAGAAACAGAATTTCCAGAGGATGAGGCCCAGAAATCAGGATTTTAAAAAGATTCCCAGGTGATTCTAATGTGCAGCCAAGGTTGAGAACCACTGCCTTAGAGTATTTATCTGATTAGCCAAGTGCCGTGGTCGGCAAACCACGGCTTGCGAGCCACATGCGGCTCTTTGGCCCCTTGAGTGTGGCCACGAAGTTTCAATCACACTGTATGTGCGTGCCCCCACGTGGTATTTTGTGGAAGAGCCACACTCACGGGGCCGCAGTTTTCCGACCACTGGCCAAGTGTGCATTTATTAAATCTCAGCCTGTGGTATCTGGGATTTAGAAGGGTCTTAGCATGAAGTACAGCCCTTTCTGCTGGATCAGTGAGTCCAGTTCTAGGGATCTAGGCTCTGATGTGTCAGCACTGGACCTGCAGTGCTGAGAACTGCACCCACGCAGAGAATATTGCTCTTGGCTTCTGACCTTCAGGGTAGATCCCAGAAGAAAAAGCAGTGCTGGTGGGGAGAGGAGGGTAGAGGGGCTTAAGGAAACCTTCACCTTCACCTGGTGTTTGAGTCATGAAATTAGAAGACCCAGCGTCTGAGATGGAGGAACAGGCATTAGGCCTAGGCCAGAGGTGGCCGGAGTCAGCTTTGCACCAGCCACTGCATGTACTTGGGCCAACCACACATCTTCTGGCCTCATGTCCTGCTTGGGTGGGATGCTGCAGAAGGCCATGTCTCTGACTTCACCTATATCTGTTGTTGGCTCTAAGCACTAGGATTTCAGACTGAGCTCAACCCTGCCCTATAAAGTCAATTATAACGTGTCTATGAACATTGAACAATTGACTAAACATGTACCCACTTTGTGTCATAGATTTTTGAAAATGAATTTTAGTTCATTAGCTTCTAGTCATTGAAATAAAGCATTCTTTCCAGCTTAAGAGGGGTTGGTCAAGGAAGAACTGCCAACACCTTTCCTTGTGGTTAACAGCATTAAGGGGTGCAGTCACAGAGCTTAGGACTTCTGTTGTGTTTCACTTTTCAGTATCTTGTCCTGGACTGTATAACTCAGAGAAAAACTGACTACCTTCACATGCAGGAATAGTATGATCATTAGTAAGCATATTTTAAATACTCTGAATGAAACCGTGGAAGTTTAAAAATATAAAGAAGTCGAAAGGAATATTTGCCAAATATTATTTCATTAAGCCTCAACATCTTCATCAAACAAACTAAAATATAATCCCAATAGCCAAGGTTAAGTAGAGTGAATCTATACTACACATTCATTATATACGTATGTATGTATAATTGCCTTGGGCATCAGGAGATGTTTACAACTTAGAAAGAAATTACAAAAGTAATAATAAGAGGTTTGGATTTATCTAAAAATAAGCCATATACAGCACAAATCAAAGCTGTATTAATTTCAACTTCTAGGGAAACATTTAGGCTTCCTCTTCTACATAATAAAAGATAATTTATAGTATTTATTCATTTTTCATTTCTCTTCAAAAATAAACAGTTGCACTTTAAATTACATTTTGTGCATGTATTCAACCTTTGCAAATATACACACTTCTTACCTTATTTAACCTATTCAGAGTCCACTGTGCTTTCAAAGCCATATCAAAATTAAATAGTCAATTTTGAATTGTTACAGTGGAGGTCTCTCCAGGCAAAAGTTTCTTTTCATCTTCTGTGTGTCATCATTATCACCTTTTTGTTGATGTCCCAGCCTCAACTTGCCCTTCAGCTCAATCTTGCAGAAGTTCAGAGAGAACTTTGTAACTCTTTCTCTTTACCCCCAAATACAAGTTTCCCTTGCCTGCCCTTAGACTCCAGCCAGAGAACACACTTAGAGAAAGCCTTGCTTAAGAGAGGACTGGGCCATTGAAAGATAACCTCAAATATTATTCATTTTTTACTAGAAGTGGGAAATCAAGAGAAGGCTGAGCAGGGAGCAGGACAAGGAAGGACAGCTTCTCGGAGCCCAGGAGGTGCCACCCTGTGCCTCCGTGAGAGCGGTCGTGGATTGAACTCCAAGAGCAGACAGGCCCACAACGCAAAAGTAAGTAGGTAGAGCCATTCCAAGGAGAATGCTTTCTGTAACACTTGGTGTTTTGGGTTATTCATGAAATCTCAATATATGGCCCGGGGGTGTATTGTATGGTTAGGGGGAGCAGAGCTGAGGAAAGCATTAGGAAGGGGAGAATTATTTGTGTTTGGCTTCATTTCAAATACATTTGTCTATTCTTTTGAGAACAAACTGAATGAATAGGAAGAGGCAACTACAAGTATGCAATGTGTGTGTGGGAGTTGTACATGTGGAAGTGAAGAAAAGTGTTATCTTTGGCGTAGCAAAGATAACTGAAATGATTTAAAACTTCTGCCAATTTCACCTCCAGAAGAAAACATATTGAACCTCCGTTCAAAAGGCTGGGTTTAAAGAAAGCAGGAGCCAGGCGGCAGCGGTGTTAGGCTCCGAATAGAATAAAGCTCTAATTCATTACAAACAGATGCTGGGACCTTAAAAACAAAGTTGTGTTCATCGATTATGTAACTAATAACTTCATGGAGCCTACTTAAAGTGCTGATTTTAAAATGTCCACTTGTTACAGCTGTCCATTTGTGACAACAAATGAGAAAACGTCTGTGTGCCCGTGTGTGGGTGCCTGTGTGTTGACACGTGACTACCTGGTCAACCGTCTCAAAATGAAAAAAGATTTATGCCTTACGTTGTCCGCACCATCGTTGGGACCCAGCCCAGCAATTCGTGGAACTTCGATTGTCACATTATACCTCCTTGTCACTCCTTCCACCAGATTCTGTCCCCTTCTCTCCGCGCACCCAGCACGCTCTCACACACACACACACACACACACACACACACACACACACACACACACACGGGGGAGATGCGAGTTCAGCCCATCTGCCTCACTTTACCTCTGGCCCGGGGAGGATGCCGGCCGCCGCTGGCTCTGTCGCAGCCATCCGTCTCGGCCGGGCTCTCCTTCGGGTGCAGCAGACTGGGGCCCTCGGTGCTTTCAACAGGTCCCATGGCAGAAGCTACAGCCCTTCCCTCCGCACCGCACCACCGCGGCTGCCCCCCGCGACAGTAGTGGTCACTCGCCCCATGGTCGCATGCTCAAGAAGGTGAAAAAAACTTCGGGCAAAGCCAATGTGATTTGTGACCAACTTTGTTTCTATTTCCGAAGGCTTTGCCCTTTTCGGTGACACAGGCTGTTGCTATTCCAAGCAGCCTATCACAGGCAGTGGGCGGGCCATGTCTCCCCGCCCTGTTTTCGCCTTCGGAGGCAGAGCGGGGCGCCAGGGGTTAAAAGGCTGGGGGAGAAAGGGAGGTCGGGCACCGCGTTTGGCCCTTAGGCTTGCTGCCTGCACCTTTGCAAAGAGGCGCAGATTCAAACGCGGGCTGAGAGCGAGGGCCCAGAACGCTCGCAGATGGTATCAGTTAGCCTTGCAGAGAGAGGAACGCTGTATGCCAACACACACCAGAAGGGAAAGTGTGTCAATTTTTCAGCAAGAATGCTGTTATTCCAAGAGTCATGACACTCACCAGTGTACACAAAGCATGAAACGTCTTAATTGTTTCAACCTGATTTGGTGAATGCCTTATGGACGCTCCCTCTCCAGAGCCTGTCAGACAAATCAAGGCCGAGACCAGGCATACACGCACTCAGAATGCATAGATTGTTTGGACTCCTTAGCCCCTGGGATGAGAGCAAAGTCATCCAGTTTACTCATGCACAGTTGTCTTTAAGAGAAGAACCAACCCTAAGTCTGCCAGGTTGTGTGATAGACTGACTGTAGGAGGAGGTGTTTCCCACTCAGAGAGGCCAGACTAAGTGCCTACGTGTGGGTGTGATGGTCATACAATCTGAAACAAGATCAGGCCTTGGGAAAGAGGACGTTTTCCTGAGTTGTGAGTATATTTATAGAAAATGTCTAACAGTTTTAGGATAGTTTGCCTTCAGCTACGTAGTCACGAATCCTATTTATTGAAAAATCTTGAGCAGAAATCAGAATTATTGTAGAAAACCATTAGGAGTGAAAACTGAAATTTATGGAGCACCTATTAGGTGCCAGAAATTGTGATCAGGGGATGAACTCAAATGATTCTTTTGAGAAAAATGTGTGAGGCAGACACCCACATCACAGGAGAGTCAAGGCCGAGTAACTTGCCTGAAGCCTCCCAACTAGGCAGTGGCAGAGCTGAGACCATGAAGCCAGGTGGCCTAATGCTCTAACTTTTCTATACCCTACATTCCCAGCCTTGCCCTTCTCTGATTTTCTTGGATTCCTTCACTTTCAGCCCATCTTGACCTTAAGAAGATGCCATGAAATATGGTTTGCAGACTAGGCATTCCTCTGGACAAATTTATGCTGGTAGAGGCAGAAGCTAACTCACACAGGACTCACTTTCAGTATTTTGGCTGGATCATGACATAGCTCTAAATGAATATATCACCTGTACATTTCCTTTGCTCTTCACTAGATATTTTCATATCTTTCTTATCCTTCAGGGAATCAGGTAATAAATAGAAACAAACTTGTAATAACTCAACTAGTATTTATTATACACCTCTTGTTTGTCTGCTAATAGTGCTGAAAAATGGAAGTCTCCAAACATAGCTCAGTCCCCTCCTGATGAAGAAGTGATTAGTTCAGAATCCCACAGATCAGCTTGTCCCCACAAAAAAAAAAAAAAAAAAAAAATGTGTAATGCAATGATGCCTTAGATTTTATTTGTGCCCAGAATGTGTGGCGACTGTAGGAGCAGCAGTTTTATCTGTGAGGCACATATTTCTCACCAGCTCTCCATATTTTCTTGGCTTTAATCTTCCTTCTGTTCAGAACTAATGACCTCAGCTGGGGGACATGTTCTTACAATGAATCAGTGGTATAATTGTGTTTTTTTTTTTAAATTCCAGCTCTGTGTCTCCAGCAGCTTTTTGGCACCATGGAAGTGTTGGGGTGTTTGTTGTAGTCTTTGGCTAGGCAAAAGATAAACCTAATTCCAGAATCCTTACAATGGCCGAAAGCAATTTAACAGTTCTCACTTTGCTATCTGTAGCCCAACTGTACAGGAACTCCTAAGGCATAAGCCAACAAGAAATCAAAAGGACTAAGCAAACGAAGCGACTGGCCACAATGCCTCCTGGTGCACCAATTCTGTTGACATTCCTTTGTTAGCCTGACTTGGGCCACTGGCTATCCCAATCTCTGTTCTGTGCTGACTTTACTCTCTTAACTCAGAGGAAAGTTTAGGGAGGAAATTATTTTTACCCAGCCTAGAGTGGAATAGTCTCCTGCCTAAATCTGTTTAAGAACCTTGTATTGCCCCAACCCAGTCTTTTGCGCACTTACAATGTATTTATTATAGTTACATGCAATGATTTTATTAAATCTACCTGACTTGCTAGTTAGTAAGATTCACAAGTGCATGGGCTATGTGTATTGATGTATTATGATATTCCAAGTGCCTTTCACAGAGTAAATACTCAGTATTTGTTGGCTAAAAAACTGACCCCTATGAATCCAACTAACTTTATCATTACCAGGATGTAAACTCCAAGACAACAGGCACACATCTGTCTTGTGCACTCACCCATCTTGGTATCTCCACCTCTGAGAACAATACCAGGCATGTAGTAGAAACCTCAATATATATCTAAGTAAACGAGCACTCACAATGTGAGTCAAATAACTATTTATTTTTTTAATATCAAAACCTATATGAGGATTACTTACAATGCTTGGTCCATTCTCTCTCTCCTCCCTGTCAATCACTTTAAAGTAAGTGTCAACACAGGCTGTCCCTCCTCCATGGAGTTTGAGCCACTACCATCATTGAAAGCTATTCCTCCACTCAAGTGATGTATAATCAGCAGATAGTTCATCCCATGTGGCCTCTTTAATTTCGATACATACCATTTTAGACCACTGGCTCATAGGCAATGCTATCAAATCCAAAAATACATATCATTACGTAAATTGACAAGACAGGTAAGAGGGGATGAAAGAGAAGGCAAGCAACTTCATATAGCGTGTGAACATCTATATACCAAGCCCATTTTGATGGCAATTTTTCTTAAAATTCACAATTTTGTGAAGTGAATACTATTGTTGCTGGAGAAATCAGTGGGTCCAATTTCCCTGACACTAGTGAGAATAGGGTTCTTGTGCTATCTTAAGAAATTTTCTGAGACTCGCACGGGAGAGTGAATGGTTTTTATTGGCGTGGGAATTATATTTTTTAGTTTGCAAAGTCCCATGTCTCTTAAACCAGTCCTGGAAATTGTGCAGCTGGGGCCCCAGCAGAGCCCAAAGTAGGACCAGTGTCCAGAGTTTCCCTTCCATGGGAGAGCCAGGTCTGACGTAACATCAGACTAGATTCAGTTCATTCGTCCTTTGTGTGGGTCCCACATGGCTGTGAGCCACATGCATGAATCCTGGGGATTGTGCCCCTTGCAACAGGAGTCCCAGGAGTGTGGGCAAGCAGGAGAGGCAAGAGAGAGAGAGAGGTGTGGGTCTCCTTTGTTTAGGAGTTAAGTATCTCAGATTCTGCACCCTTGCAGTGGCCACACCTATTCTGGCCACTGACTTGCTCCCAGATGTGACTGACAGATAAATATCTTCCCATGTCACCCAGACCTCACTGGGCATGTGTCTATTGTCCAGTCCCTTCCCTCAGCGATCTATGGGGAACAGCCTTGGAGAATGTTAACTGCAGCTTCCTGACAGAGCTGTATAAATGGCATGTCTGTATTATCTAGTCTTCCCTTTACTCCTTTCCTGTTATTTAAAAACCAGGTTATTATAATGGTATCACTATTGCCTCCATTTTGCAGAAATTGAAACTTCAAAATTTATGGAACATACCTCAGGTCAAAAACCACTTTCTAATATTTTAAGCATGACAATTGTCAATCATAAGGGAAAACCTAGATCCTATAATCAACATTTTACTATGCATGCTCTTTACCCAGCTACTTATATATAAATCCCTCTATCCATCCATTGATCCATCTTACTTTTCATGCATGTCAAAGTAAGTTGAAATACTTTGGTGTGTGTATCATCAACTGGAATTCAACATATCTTCAGGTTCTTCTTTTTCCTTTGAGACATGAACTGCACAAATCCTAAGGGTGTCATTATATGAGCGCAGAAAAGCACATGCATATGGACAATCCACATCTCATTATTCCAGAGTGTACCTTTATGTCTCTTCTGAGTAACTTTCCACCTCAACCTCTAGAAGCACCAATGTTCTGATGAGTTTCCACATGGCTTACCTCTGCCAGTTCTAGCCCATCGCAGAATGAAATCAGAGTGTGTACTCTTGTGTAAGGCTTTTTTCACTGACCGTAATTTTGAGATTCATCCATGGTTCTGTGTGTACTAGTAGTTCATCCTGCTTTTATCTAAATAGTATTCCAGGAGTGAATCTATCACAGTTTATTTATCCATGTTCCTGCTGATGGTCACCTGGGCTGTTCTGTTTGGGCTAATATAAATAAAGCTGTTGTAAGCATTCTTGTGCAAGTCTTTTTGCAGAACGTAACATTTCAAAGCACAGCAGTCTAGGTCCATTTGATTCCAAAATCCACATGTTTTTCACTACACCCCGTTGCTTCTCCATGGTGCATCCCATTGCACTGTTATATAAAATGTACCCCCGGAGTTTTTATTCTAAAATGGTTCATTACAGTGTAAACACAACTGAGGAAATATGACATTTAGACAAAAAATATCCAGATATAAATTCAGCTCTTTATTAGCCATATTCCAATAAAATACTCCACCTGGTATGATTTTTGGAAGAATATTTATTATTTTATCTGATTATGCTATCTAAATAACTCTTCTCTAAAAGTTTTCTTTATCTCTAAATATAACCTTTTCTCTCATGTGTAGAATAATACCAATCATAAGATTGATTAAAGCTCCTCAGATTACAGAAGTATGCTTAAATTCATTGATATGTTCACTAGGTATTAAATTATTTGATAAATCATTAATAGCAATAATTTCTATGCTTTTAGATGGGAAAATCAGAGTATCAAATTGCATGCTGACTACCATTACCATGATTTTTAAGATCTATGTGCATATTAGTATAGACTTACAAGGGAACTTGGAAATTTTGAAAATAAACAATATATTGGAATAGCAATCTTAGATCATCTTAAGGAATTTATCAATCTTA